AACTTGTGGAAACGCCAGACGGCTAACACTAAGGCTAGTGCTTCTTCCTCTATCTGTCCATATCACTTCTGCTGGCGTTGGTGACTTCGACGCGTGCATGATGACCCTCTCCGATCCGTCTGGGAAGACGTGCAGAATGACGGCACCAACTCAGCTGCCACGTCGATCGGTAGTTTTGGGTCGTAGTGGGTCAGTAGAAGATCGGAACTGAGCACCGCCTTTAGTCTGCAGAATGCTTCCTCGCATCCTGACCAACACCAGGGGTCAAATGTCGTGTAGCGAAGGCAAGAATGCCGAATGATAGCTGATTAACCCCAAAAAGGAACGTAATGATGGGACACTCTTGGGAGGTAGCATCTGCTGTATTACTCGAACGTTCTCCGGCTCAGGATGACGATCAGGAGCGTCGAAGATGAAACCAAGGTACTTCAATGTTATCAAGACGAACTGACACTTCTCGGGACGGAGCCGGAGGCCATTGTCCCGAATGCGCGACAAGACGACACTGGCCCGATCAAGAAGCCCTTCGGGTGAAACAACAATGACCAGCACATCGTCCAGGTATGCGACTACTCCCGGAATGCCAAAAAGGATGGTATCCATCAACTGCTTGAAAATAACTGGGGCAGTTTTGACGCCAAACGGGAGACGGGTGTATTGATACAACCCGCGGTGTGTGTTGATTGTCAACGGTGGCGTGATTCTGGTGCGACTTCAACTTGAAGGTACGCTTCAGCAAGGTCGATTTTCGCGAAGAACTTTCCACCGTTCAGAACACTGAATAGATCATCGGGTATTGGTGGTGGATAGTTGTGCTGCTGGAGAACGGCATTCAGGCCGGTTGAGAAATCCGTGAAGTATGGTGGACACAGAAAGCCAAAGAAATGGAAGAGGCCCAGAAAGCCGGTAATGCCCGGAGAGTATTTCAGTTGATCCGTGCGACCGGTCCCCGGAAACCACCTGTGAGTGAAACCATCAAACACTAGAATGGAACGACCATCTCAACTAAAGAGGAGCGCCTCGACCAGTGGGCCGAATACTTCGAACAACAAATGTCTTTATCACCAGACGGCACTCATCTAGAGCCCACAGGTGAAGTAGAACCCTGGACGGTGAACGTGGAACCACCTACGGCCTCGGAGGTTTACGACTGCATATGTTC